GAAGGAACATAACATTGTTTGCTATCAGTTCAGCTCATAGGAAGCTACAAAGATACTAAATTTCTGACACGATCAACATGCATTTTTTGTACTGCACATTTTCTTAGCTTATAAAATGAAAACTAATGCAGTCACTACCTCTATGGACTAGCAAGCCACAATATACAAAATCTTTCTTCTTAGGTTAGATATAGTTTAAAGAGCTGTTTCCCTTGTTTATGCCAACAAGGGTGTAACCCATGCAATATGTAGATGAGGTGTGCAATGTGTTTTTTAGTTGGGGGTTTTCTGCTTCAAAGTGTGGGATTCTGAGAGTTCTTTAGTTTTGGACTGAACTGTGAATATATTGTAATATGTATTATCTTTTAGTGCCCAGTTGTAAAATTGTGTTATTGATTGGTTAGCAGCAGACTTTTCACAACCTTTCACTTGCTGTCTAAATGAATCCCTTACACTACCTCCCTCCTGTCACTACATTGCACATATAACTAACATAAGCAGTGCTTGTTGCTTTTGCCTTCCTGTTCACTTATGTTTATATCTATTGCACTTCTGTTTTCCAGCAGATAAGTTTACCTTTTGTATCTCTGGACACTATTCAGGTACATGCTCTGGAGCTCAGTGGTGATGTCTGTTATAAATTCAATGAACTCCATAAAGTCAACCTGTCCATCGCCATCCAAATCCAGCATTGCCATTGCATCATCCTGAAAGGAAAAGTGTGAAATATAAAATGTGTCATTCATAGCATCATGGGTCATACGGGAATTATATATTAAAAAAAATGAATATAAACAGTAATCAATGCAGCTGTCTTGATGCAAAGGTAGCTTTGCCTGATGGATCATTCCCCCATGCCACAAGCCTTTTCTCATGCTGTGCCATACTCAGTACACTGCTAATGCTGCCTGTCTACTGCTTTAAACATACAAATGATTTTTTATTTAGTTTTGGTGTTCCACCAGGCAGCTAAAAGTAAGTCACCTTGTTACATGTAATTCCACTGGAGACTACAGTATAAGCGATCGTGCCAATACTCATTGCACAGGCATGTTCCTCCTTTATCACCATACAGAAACCATCGCTGAAAAAAGAAGGACACTTGCCGCAGGAGCACATTCTTATAGACAAGAAGTGGCTACAAAGAGGCTCCTGGATATCAGCAGTACTGCAATAAATGCTAAAAAAATGTGAAAAGACATGGCAATTGTTTATGATACACAGTGCTTTAGAAAACTACATGCCATCCATTTAGGGTTTACATCTACTTTAAAGATGGAATTTTAGCGATTGGGCTTAATTATACTTTTATGATCTCAGCTGTGATTCTATGGATTCAGTTGTATGCCCATAAACATGCAGACTTGCCCACACAAGACTTCTTCTCAAGACTTCTTCTTATAAATGACAGTCCAGTCTCATTAAAGTATATCCGAAAAAAAAAAAAAAGTAATATCTTGCAGCTTACCAGTCCAGATGTAGTGACTGCATTGCATTTTTTGCTAACTTTTTTCCCTTTATTTTCACCTAGTAATCCTGTGAAAACACACTGCCTGTCCCTTCATGGCTACACTCACTGCTCCACTTTATCAACAGAAGGAGCCATGGTTGTCACATAGGCTGGACTTCAAGCATGTCTGCCTTCGTTCATCTCCATTACATGGTGGATTGATGGAACCAATAGTTTACACAATAAACATGAAATTGTTTCTGCATTGTTCAGCAGCAAGCATTTTTGTTTTAGGTACACTGTAAATCTAATGGCATTGGGTAGACCAGTTGGGCACCTACCACCATTATGGAGATAAATTGTAGAGAGAGCTACATATATGAGACAGTAGGTCCCTTTAAAGATCATGTTTTCCATCTGACCGAATAACTCAAGAGCTAGGGGTAGCACACACACAAGTCTATTATTTTTTTGTGCAGAAAACTTACAAAAACTTACAAAACTTACAAAAACTTACAAAATGTCCTTGTGCAACAACTCTACCGGAATCTAAAGACATAAGCTGATTGCTGGCCAGATCAGGCTACAATTATTATGTCTGCGGGGGAATTCAGTGGTCCCCTGACCAATCATTCTCAAAAAAATGGCTGATAAGAACGATTCAATTTTTTTTAGTTAATTGTGATACTTTCAGTTCAATAGCGGTCCACACTTTCCTCCAGTGTTTGACATCCAACCACTATGTGGTGTTTTCTGCGGCTAGCCTGAGTTTGACTCTGAAGAGCAATGAACAAGATGTTATAATGCATAAATTCTACATCGCATGCAAAGACAGCAAAACTCACCCGATAACAACAGGGCAGTTCATTAGCAAGTAACGTAGTTAGTTCAGACCGATTGAGTTTTAAATTGTCTCCCTCCTCAGCTGAGTATTTGTGAAAAACACCCAGGAGATTGTAGACTGCAGATTCCACCACTGCCATGGTTCAAACTACATTCATCGCCCTTTACTGAATGTATATGTAATCAAGAAGCTTGATGAACACCAATAACTGTAACAACTATTGTGTTTTCTGGTCCCGCCTATTGTCTCCTCATACCAAGCAGACAGCTGGAGGCTACAGGATGAAATGCCCTGATTATTAATGTAAATGTGACACTGCCTAGAGTTTTACAAAAGACCTGACTGTGGGGCTCAAGTTCCAAAGTGCCATCAAATATCAGTACAATAAGTAATGTGGATCCCAGACTTGGTAAAGCAGGTGACAATTGGATCAGTCCAAACATCAGCTATGGTTACAACATGTATGAAAACATGGACAGTGATAGGATAGCTCCACCACCAGGTGAATGCTGTAGAACTAGTCACATAGTATATGCTAAAGGTGCTTTTAGGGACTAATTATAAAGCAGAGCTTGCCAATCAGTGTCTCTTGCTAATCAATGTCTGAACACAGATCCTCTCACTCTGCAAAGACCGTTTGACCAATGCTGTGGCATTGCTAATGTGATCGGACAAAGAAAGATCCCAATATATTAGTAAAGTGCACTGCGCTAATAGTGTATCAATACATAATCTATAATATGTCATAAAATAGTGATGAAAGCACTACTAAGTGCATGAAACAAATAAAAATAACAACAATATAAAATTCATAAACCATTACGTACAGATCTAATCAGAAAAATGAATAAAGTGCATCAAATAATAGTGTCCATCCCACAAATAGTGACAATAAAACAAATAGTGATAGTCCAATTCAACTGATTAAAACAACTTAAAAACCATTAACCAGAGTTCAAAACTTGCTGTGTTCCAATGTGCAAATCCCCAGTGCACTCTTATAGATAATGCACTCACCAGATCGACATGACCATAAGAAGGTCATATACAGCATGATATCCCAACCACCCTGGTCAGGCACCATATCAGTGATCTCTCTTTGCTTGTCTCCTCTATTAATTCTCCTCCACCGCAAATTCACAGTTTAAAATTTGACTTTTAGCAAACCACCATGTAATCAAACAAACTCCTCGTAGTGTAGTAAATCCAACCATTAAACTTTATTAAAACAAGCCAATCTACTCACATTTAGATAGTAAAAAAGCAGAAATATACACAAAGCTCTGTCCCGTCCTGTGTGCGTGAGGACGTCAACAAATTTTACAGGGCCTGACTACTTTTTCTTTTCAACCTACTCCTCAACTCTGCCTACTGGCACTTACAGAACATTTAGCTCAGGCAGTGGCAGTTCGCAGGCTACTGGGGATTCTTCTTTTCTATAACTTGAATTAGTCCCTTCGCGCTCCTGACTAGATACAACCTAAGTTATCGGTTATGTGCTGTAGTGACTGCGCCAATCAGACATAAGTACATGAAGCGGTCACTCTCACTCCAATATGTTTTCTATCAATTCTTCTTTATTGCCAAAAAGGTATGTCACATTGTATAGTGACATTTAGGAATCCTCTTGGTCCCTTTTTTCAGGCAAAAAAACACTTTGCCTTCTTTTCTATACCCGCAAAGATATTCTCCTAGACCGGAAAATGAGGTCTGCACCTACTGTGGATATGTGGAAATGGCTAGTCAACTCCATGCTGCACTTTTATAAGGCTACATATGTTAATAGAGGTTGCCCTTTGTGCAACACAAAGTTTGCGCTGATTAAACCAAAGCCTTTAGTATATTGGAGTTTCTTTGAAATACTGTGTATTTTACCTGTATATACTGCTTTGAGATGTGCTATGAGGTTGCACTACCTTCTGGACTACACCTTACCCGTGCATTGTTGAGTTCTTGAGAATTGGGGGGTGGGTTTTTTTGGGTGTTCCTTATGGTTGTTTTTATCTTGTTTTGTACATGTTCATGTTTTTTAAGTGTTTTCTTGTGTATCTTTTTTTGCGTTCTAAAATTGAATAAACAGAATTTTTACACAAAAAAATTACCCAATCATAACATTTAAACCTTCAGAAACAATTACCCTGCAAAAGCAGGCCGTAAAAACTGACCTTTCCACTACCCACACTGTTGCACACCACTCTGTTCCAGAAGAAATGATCCCTGAAAGTCCACAGGGAAACTGACACTTCTAGGAGTATCAGTCTCGTTAATTCCCCCACAGCTCTCAATGGTTCCTTCTGCTGACCTCCATATCACTAAAGTAAACAGTAGTGACATGGAGGCAGCAGAAGGAACCAATGAAAACTGTGCTGGACCAAGGAGATGAACACTTCTGGAAGTGGACCTTGATTAACTATTACTACAAGAAAAGTAAGTATTTACAGACTTCTTCTGCAGGGTATTTGTTCCGGAAGATCTAAAATTTGTGAAAGGGTCACTTTAAATTAAATTTTCAATAACACTTTTGATTATGAACCTTTTGGCACAAAAGGAGGTTTAAACAGAGATTCTTCTCCAGCAGCCAATTACCGCGAAAAAGCTGTTGTGTGCAGTAAATGGATCTTTCCAGGGTATGAATGAAAAATAAATCAGCCACAGGGATTTCACTCTTATGTTACTGGCTGAATATGAGCCATAGACTAATATATTTTATTTGGTGTTCTTAGTTTGTCTAATTTCCAGGAAGAGGTCAGATATTAGTGACACACTCAACAGCAACACCATGAAGTCTTCAAAGTTCATAAGTTCCTGACTGTCTTTTTCCAAGTCTTCCATCAGTTCTTTGTATTTAGGTTTAGCATCTTGACCCTGCAAGGAAAACAGAGCAGCTGTTACATTTAAAAGGAAAGTATATACGTTTTATATCTTTTTGTCTTTATTTATTATGGTCCAGACCAAAAAAAACATTTTTAAAACTATATTTAATTTTTTGGTCAACTATATACAGTACTGTATATTACACATTTATATTTTATGTTTTGCTTTCCAGCCATTGCCTGGAGCAAGCAAAAAGCTTACTCCGGAAAATAGATCAAGTTGAAAACACAGAGGGATGCTTTACAGCAGTACCTCTGACCTCCTCTGCTTTCACCTGCCTGAATCTTTAAGATAGGTCAGGAAGATATTTCAATCAAAGAGAAAGAGTCTAGATGCAAACAGCTTCTGCTGTGGTCTTTCTAGACACTGTGAAATCACTGCCATGGGTGCACCCAGTATTAAATGCTTATTTGTAAAACAAAGACTGTATACATATAAAACCAAATATAATAGTTTTCAATTTTCAAAAATTAAAATAAAATTGACCCAAAAACAATATAGTTCCCCTTTAAAGATAATTTTCCACATCTGATAATTGTAAGATTTATACGCAAACCTGTACTGTTGGTGCTATATAAATCCTGTTTAACATTAATAACAATACTGTAAAAATACTGATATCTTCAGTGGAGTAAAGAACTACTGGGGGATCAAGTCTGCCTCACTACACACAAAAGTAAAGACAAAGCAAAAAAAAAAACAACAAAAAACAAAATTGAGTTGTGCAGGCTTTTAGTGATAAATCATGTCCGCTGAAAATACTGTAATTCTGGTACCTGCCAAGGAGGCCCAACTACACTATGTGGCCAAAAGTATGTGGACAACTCACCATCACACCTACAGTATATAAGCTTGTTAAATTTCCTGTGCCAAACCTATGGGCACAGATATAGATTTGATCTCTACTTTGAGGCTATAATGGTCTATAACAGCATCCACTGGAAAGTGTGTCTGTGTCAATTTAGGCTCATTTAGCCAAAAGAGCATTTGTGAGGTCAGGTACTGATGTTGGACAAGAAGATCTGGCTCACATTTGGCATTTCAGTTTATTCCAAAAGTGTTCAACAGGGTTGAGGTCAGGGCTCGGTGAAAGCCATTCGACTTCTTCCACATCACTTTACCTACAGAGATTCACTAAGGTTTAAGCTGCAGTTAAAGGAGAACTATGGGGTCAGTATTTTTCCCCATAGTTCTTCATAGGGTAACGGGAGGACACAAACTAGCGTCCTCCCTTCACCCTAAGCTCAGTATACCGCGAGCTGCAGCTCGCGGTATACTGAGACGCCGCAGCTGGAGCGGATCCCGACTTAGACGTCGGGATCCGCCCAGCTGCGTGAGTGACAGCTGGCTCTGCCTATCTAGAGGCAGAGCCAGCTGTACCCGCCCCCTCCCCTGTCCATTCCGCCAGTCAGCGCTGGCAGATCGGAGTGGGGAGAGGGGAATCCAGCCCCTCCCCCTGTCACGTCAGAGAGCCGTGACAGGATCGAGAGGTGAGCGAACCCGGTATGTGTTCGCTCATCTCCCGATCTACTGAGCCGACCTGTGACAGTCTCATTGTCACAGGTCGGCTAGAACTATGAGGTGAGTGGAAATCACTCATCTCATAGGTCTCCTTTAAGTATTGTGTGGTCAGGCACATGACAGGTGCTCTTACTACAATCTGACCTGTGGCATAACCTCTGCTGGAAGACATAAACTTAATGTGCCGCAGGGCTCATCATAAACGCACTTCCACCGGGTGAAAATAGGGCAGAATTATGCTTGGAAAACAATTACAGCAGTATATTTTATTTCAATGGCACAAATGTTAAATTATGCGAAATTTGAAATACCGTTGCATTTCCGGACAGCATTCCTGGTGTAAACTGAGAATCCCCCGTAGGAACACAATACTGAACACACTAGCTGCTACCATTGTTAAAAAGTAATTGAAGCAGATGGCTCCAACAATGTCTAACAGTTCTGTGACCTTGTAGGAAACTGGCACAGGCCAATGATAAGAAATCTGGTTTTGCTACCATAGTCTTTCCCTTTGCTGGTACTTGCAGTCCCATCAAGGAGAATAATGACAGTCATACACAGACATATTGCCTTGAAGTCCCATCTGAATGGATTCAAAAGTGGGTCTGTACACTAAAGCTATGTGCAAAGAGTCCCAAACAACTGCAAGAGGGATGGAGATCAAACCTGCCAAACTGGAATAAAATAAGGATCCGCAGTAATTAAGGCATACACATTGCCTAGCAGCCCATGCAATGTCCTTTAATCACGGCTCTCAACCGGTAATTTGATTTCAGTTTCCAACAATTTTTGGCACAGAATTCCTGGCTTAAAGAGGGATGTCCTGCTCTAAAATATCCCTCATACTAACTGTTCCTGTAACCCTAGCCCTTTCATTATATTCCATATAATTCTAACCCACCCTGATGTTAGCATTACCTTTCTGAATTCCTAACACTAAACCTCCCTGTAACCCTAACACCAACCCTAATAATAAATTTTCTTGTAACCCTTGTACTAAATCCCTTGTAACCCTGACATTAGCCCTGTAACCTTAGCACTAACCCTCCCAGCAACTCTAACATCACTTTCCATGCAACACTAATGCTACCTACCTATAACCATGACCCTAACATTACCCTACATATTCTACTACTCACTTCCTCTGTGAATGATAACATTATTTAATGCAGAGCACGCCAGAGCACATGTGTGGTAGAAGACTTCTTCTGCTACCTTCCGTGTTTACAGTGACAGGAAGAAGTGTAAAAGCTGTCACAGCAGGTCCCACACTTATGGAAATCTGGATAAGGTCAGTGACCAGAGTGCAGTGAAGCCACAGGAGATATTTTTGAGGTGCACTGTGTCACTCTGCTTTACATTTACTTTTTCGTTCCCCTTATTCCATATGCCATACTATAAATTTCCTATTTCTCACCTTCCTATTCACTATGTTATGCTGTACATTCCCTATTCTGCACCACAATATTCCCCAGACCATGGCATAAATTCGCTATTCCGTACATTCTTATTATGTATGCCATGCTGCACATTCCTTTCTCTGCAGCTCTTCATTCTATCTGCCATGATGTATATTCTCTTTTCTGTGCTGCCTCATGCTGTACACCATGATGTACATACCTTATTCCACACCACCTCATTCTGTACTGAATGCTGTACATTCCCTGTTCCACAACACCATATTTCTAATGTTGTATGTTCCGTTCCCTATTTTGCACCAGCACATTCTGAAAGCTCAGATGGACATTTTATGCTCCACACTGTCCTCTTCTGAAAGCCGTGCTGTACATTCCCTATTCCACAGTGACCTATTCTGTATGCTGTGCTGTACATTTGATGTTCCTCACCACTCTATTCTACACACTGTGCTGTACCCACCCTGTTCCTCCACAGATCTGTACTTACCTCAATAGCTTGGACACATCCTCTTCGGTCTTTTGTAACCTGCCATGGTAATTAGGGTGTTGTGCAATGGTATCTTTTTTCTGTTGGGGGCCCATTAAAATTTTCGCTAAGGGGCCCTGTGTTTTTTTGTTACACCCCTGTCCCTAATGCTAACATTAACCTTCATGTAGCCCTAACCCAAACATTACCCTTCACGTTATTCTAATACTAACCCTCCCTGTAATCCGAACTCAAACATTACCCTCCCTGTAATCCTAACTCAAACATTACCCTCCATGTAACCCTAACACTAATCTTTCCTGCAGCCCTATCCCAACTTAACCCTCCAAGTAAACCTCACATTAACTATCCCTGTATCCCTAACACTAAAGCTGGCCATACACTGTCAGAACCAAAACAAAAATCCGATTCCTCCAACTGCAGCTATTGTATTCTGTATGTGAGCTGTGGGTCTACCTCTGTCTGACTTCCTGAAGCCATTTTTTGCCCGGCTCCTTTAATTTTCTGACTAAAGGATGTCTGGTGGGAGACTGCTGACAGGGCCACCCAGGGAGCGAATTTCAGTTGGTTCATCAAGAACTGACATTTGCCCAGCTTGGGCCTCCCTAATGTAAATGTTAACCCTTGTTTGCATGCTTACCTGTCCTCAGCTGTAGATCAACCTGTTATGTGTTCAGAGATACCAGCACCAGGATCTCAATGCCAGAACAACTATTTCTCTGGATTGGGTCCATGGCACTAGAGACAAGGCAATATGTAAAAATATGTAGCTTCAAGAAGCACAATCAATTTTTAAGTGGTGGCTAAGCTTGTGTGCCCCTTTGCCCTATCAACCAATCAGCATAATTAGTACTAAAAGTATAATTCTGAGTTGCCTCTATTGTCTCTTCTGGTCCTCCTTATTGTCTCATTGTAAAACAGAACTGCAGTCTATAGGGATAAATAGCTTGATAAATAATGTATATATGACACTCCCTATTGTCAGAGTGTCTGAGTCATACATAGCTCCATAAAAGAACTGACTGCAGGGCTCAGTTTCCAGCATGCCATCAGATAATAGTGTTTTAGATGGAGAATAAATTGGATGGAGTTGGGTTTAATGTTAAAATGTTTTTGACCAACCATTGTTAATGTTCTAGCCGGAATGCTTGTTTCTGGTTGTTACAATGTCCTTTTTATGTCATGGCAGCTTGGTGGGCTAGTGGGTCTTTGGGGGGGTCTCAAAATGTTAGTCAGTTACACAATTGAGGGGCCATCAGCTGGTATGGGTGCTTTCCCCGTTGGTGTCAGTATTTGTTGGGGGACCTGACCCTTTGGAACTTGGGAGCAATAACTGTCCTCGAGCTGGTTGCGGTGTGGCTGGGGACATGGGAGCAGTTTTTAGTAGAGGCCTTATATGGGCTGATGGTCACCCAAAAACCCCTTCTCAGATCAACAGTTATTCAGATTATTTATTTTTATATTATTTTGTTTATTACTTTGGTTACTGTTAACGTTGTTTTGGTTAATGAAAGGGCTGCTGGGGCCATTTAAATACATATCGCGCAGTCTGTGTGTTTATTGGGGTTTTAACAGAGGGACGTAATCGACGACTCCATCGGTCAAGGAAGTGTTAAAATAACAGGTCTACTGGAAGGATCAACAGGTAATACAACTAGATTACAGGGGCGATTTAGAAAAACTGGACACACTGTGTTGTTTGATCATAGTTGCACTTTAAATATATTTTCTACTTTTTAATAAATGTATAATTGTATTAAATAATGGTCCTAAATGTTCTTTATTACACTACATTTTATACCCGAAGATAAGGTTTAAAATTTAATATATTCTCCATTAGTAACAAAGTCATCATTTGGTGCTCTAAGGGCCTCTGTTTGAATATTTTAACTCAGAAACTCCATATAGATGATATTTAATTTTGGAATCTACCCAGCAAATACATTTTGTATTACCTGTATGAAGTTCTGGAACTGTGTGTGCAGCAAGTCCTTAGCACAAGCCTTGCTTATTTTCCCATCGCTGTCTGCGTATGAATTATATACAAGCACCATGGTGGCTACAGATTTCTCCAGCTCCGAGCCTTTCCCCAGTGCTGGGTAGGAGACAAGAGAGGAGAGATTGAGTGGAACTGTCGCTTTATAACATGCTATTCTTAATTTTCTTTTTCAGTCTATAATTATTCCATAAAACCTGTCAGAGAGTTATCTGTAACAAAAAGAACTTAGTAAGAGAAATTAAATAAAAAGTTCTTTATTATGTAATCTCATTATTACCTAATTTTGTTAAACCTTAATATTGGACAATATTCAATATATATTCAATGCCATTAAACAGCTGTTACTTCCAACACTAACATTTCAGCTTGGGTGGGGTTGATTTACTAAAGGCAAATAGGCTGTTCACTCTGCAAGGGGATTTGCACACTAGCTTGGTGAATGTGGTGAATTTCACTTTGCAAAGAATACCCAATCATGCGCAAGAGAGTAAACAGTATTTTTGCTTCTCAATGTAAGAAAGATCCGGCCGCACACCACAAAACACTGAAGCACTTTAATAGAGTACAGCATCACTGTGTCCTGCCTCGGGTCCGCTCCTCCATGAAGCCTTTCACCCAATCACAGGCTTCATGGTACAACTACAATTAAGCCCATGATTAGGTGAAACGTGTCAGAAAGGGGTGGACCTTTGGCAGCGATGTTGTTCAACTGCCATTAAAGTGCTTCAGCGTTACGCGGTGTGCTGGATCTTTCTTGCATTGATTGGCTGTGAATATTGGAATGTGGACTCGCTCCCATAGGCAAGCATCCATGCTTCTTTTCCCATGCTAAGTCATGGAGGAGTGGTGCCTTTGCTCTGTGCTTCTTAAGTATTTTTGCCTGCTAGTGATTGGACGATGGAAGTCGGCAGAATTTCATCTCATTCACTAGAGCTAAGGGAATCTTCCCTTGCAAATAGCAAATTCCCATGCAAAGCAAGCAAACAGCCTATTTGTCTTTAGTAAATCACCCTCCATTATATATATATATATACTTTACTATGGAAAGGAGGAAACAACATTTTTACTGCATGTGTGATACATCCTTCAGCTACATAGGTCAAGGCGGGTCATTCTTGGTGTGACATGCATGATGCAACAATGGCAACTGCTCATTTCTAACAAGCAAAAGAAGGTGTGCATGTGCAAGGCAATACACTGATTTAAAAATTCCCCAGCACTGTCCAGCTAGTCACCACAAAAAACGAATTTGTTTCAACATCTCACGTTTAAAGGCAACTCGGAAAAGTTTTTTCAATTCTGTGTAAACTATCTGAGGTTCTGATGTGGATAAATTGATTTGCTCTTGTGAATAAGTAAAGAAGTCCTTTGGACCTACAATCGGCAATGAGAGATCTCTAATGGGAATCTACTTTTATTTACTTTCAGAGTGTATAGGGGTTGGTGCAGTGGGATGCCTGGTCCCCTGTGACATCAATGCCATAATACGGATGTACCATGCTTCCTTATTTAATGAGCAGTAAAGGGTAGGAAGACCATATGGGTAGCACATTCTCTGAGTGAACTAGTAAAGGGGCCAAATAACCCCTCTTCTTGCTACATGCCTGGCAGAATTTAAATATTTGGCCAGTAGAGAACATTTTTGTGATTTTTGCCAATCACTGTGGATGACTAATAAAGCCCAAAAGAAACAAAGGCGCATGTGAAAATATCAAAAGTTGATTTTGGGGCTCTAATTTGGATAATAATCCACAGGTTCCCCACCAAGAACAAAGACAAAGTGTCGTTTTCTGCTTTCACCAGACCATATAATGTCACTGTGTGTGAATTGTTCCTGGACAATACTTTAAAGTTTTTTTTAACTATTTGAGACAATTTTTTTCACATTTTAGTGGGGAACTTTGGTTGCTGGTGGTGCATGCAATCAGTGGGGCGTTTTTTGCTGTTGGTGCATTATCTCAGTGGGGGAAGGGGGTGCTGGTGGTGCATGCAATCAGTTGGGGAGGGGGGTGCTGGTGGTGCATGCAATTAGTGGGGGAAGGGGGGTGCTGGTTGTGCAATCAGTGTGTGGGGTGCTGGTGGTGAATGCAATCAGTGGGGTGGTGTTGGTGGTGGATGCGATCAGTGGGGTGGTGTTGGTGGTGGATGCAATCAGGTGGGGTGCAGGTGCTGGCTCTGCAACTCCCTGCCTGAAATGCTCTAGCCAGTGTCCTACCAAGCTCCTGGCAACATCACTGAGCAGGATGCCAGCCAGAGTGTTTCAGATTGCTAAGAGCTGGGCAGAGAGATCTGTATGGCTCTTACACATCTCCTTGCCCAGTTCTTAGCAACCTGGGATGCTCTGGCCGCAAAGGGGTCAGTAGAAACACCGTCCCCCCATGTGACCCAAATATATGTTGCCTGAGGCAACAGTCACAGGCTGCCTCATTAATGAGACGGTCCTGACTAAAAGACATATGGAAGCTGCCATTGTTGACCAGTAAATGTTATGTGTTTGGCTGTCTCTGGGTTCAATATTTTGACAAAAACGCAGATCAGGAAAATCATGGAGACCAAGAGAATATGCATTCTTGTTCTGGGTCTTTAACAGTACTGAAGCCACAGGATCTGTATGACAACTACTATCATGATCAGAAGCTGAGATCAGTGGCCATCAACACCTCCTCACTATAGGTTTCCTTTAAATACGTAGCATACTTTACATGATCTGTTTGAAGATCAGACCCACCTTTAATAGAGGCCAGCTGTTTGGCGATCGGGATTGTGTTGCTGCATTAAATGAAGAGAAAAGAAAGGCATCAAAGTGAAAGATGAAAATGGGAATATTTGTGTTCATTTAAATTCATGAATCTTTTTATTTTCCGCCAGTATGTATGAGAAGAAATTGAAACATGACAGGCATTAAGCCTCACCACGTCTGAATAACATATCGTTAGAATTAAACTTGTATATTTTTAGATGATATTAGATCTTGTCATACAATTTATTGCTCACGGATTGCTGTGTGGGAATTAAACATTGCTTTTCAATTTTCTTTTGTTTGAAACTAGACATCCATGAAACATTATTCTCTACATCCAACCTTACTGTAAAGGGAAATGTATTTTATATATACATATATTTCTCATTAGTACACAAATGGGGTCCATTAATAAAGGTTTTCACACAATATTCCAACAACTTTCTCCCAGGACTCTTGCATTAATTGGATTCAATTGGAAAAATGGGAGAAGGTTGTGTGAAAACATTTATAAATAGACCCCATACTGTTTTATTTACTGTAAAGTTTAAAAGGGGGGGGGGGGCAGGTATTCGTACCTTTAAATTAACGGTGTTTAGGCCAAACATATATATCATAACGTCCTGAAATATATCCAAATTGGCTTAACACAAAAACACTAAGTAAATACAAGATTGCTTTTTATTTTTAATATTTGATTAAAGTATTAAAGTAAACTTAATAACTCAATTCTCATCTAAGCTTTAACATGTCATGTAATTTATAAAGTCATATTAAGCATTTTAATCTTTGCAGGTTTCATAAACATTATTCACCGGTGATCCTGCCATGGAGGTCCTGGTTCAGGCACTTCCTGGTTTAGGGTGACAACTTGTCCTTGTTACCTAGTTGTGCTCGGGATAGGGAAATTTGTGTTTCTTTTTTATTTTGGCCTCATTCACACAGGGTAGAGTGGGGCCGTACAGATCCGAGGAGCGTGTACGGCCATATCGGGCCGTTCCCAGGAAGGACATGTGCTGCGTGCGATTGTACACAGCAGCCTGTTCTTCCCTGTGGGAGGACACGGCTGTACGCTGTCGTACACTCACCCGAGCTGCACATCCGTGCGGGTGTGGGTGTCTGTGCTTGGACGCAGAAAGGATCCAGGCTTTTTTTGTCCTGGTGATCAGTCCAGTGATATACGTTCTATCATAGGGAAGCTCCACTCTATGGAGGAGCAATGGAGCCACCCTTGGACAGCAGCATTGTCATCCTGTAGATAGGGTAGTGTTACATGAAATAGTAGATTTAGATGGACCTGACTAACAAATCAAAACCAAACTCCAGCTAATACTTTTATTTAAAAAAATAGCTTTTTTACCTTTTGAGATAAAGGCTTTAAATAAATTAGTAAAAGTTGGCCATAGTTAGCCCCCCTGTCAATGTGAAATGGTTTGTCTCAACCCACTATCTGCCACTTTGGCTGGTCAGCTTGGTCTTGTAAAGGAATTAGAAAAAAAATTACTTACTGTCCGGATCACCAGGTGAAAATAAAGGAAAAAAAGCCTAAGAATAAAAAACGAATGCAGCCACCACATTTAAGAAGTATATTAAATTTTTGCTTTTAGATATGCGTTAAACTTCAGCACCAAAAACTGAAAGTTCACAAGTCCTGTATAACATACTGATCTAATCTTGCTTTCCACACATGAATATCATTTAAAACTAATTTGAAACAATACACAGGAACAGCAATATATATACATATATATATTGCTGTTCCTGTGTATTGTTTCAAATACACAGGAACACATATATATGTATATATCAGATTTTTCTATTTTCTACTGAGTTGTAAATTGTATATCCTTCAAGCCATGAATAGATAACTTGAATAAGTTACAGATGTCTGTCGCTCATGGGTTGTCTATTGGGACCGTAAAATGAGATTACCTAGCATACACCCCAGAATATATATAATATAATATCATTATGAAGATATCCTGTGCAGTAGAATATGAGCTGCCATCCCAGCAATGATGACTTAACCCCTACATTACCTCTTTGGCATGTTTCTGAAGTGGAGTGTTCTTCGGGATCTAAGGGAAATTCTTCTACGCTGTGGCAGAATAATTCATAATTAAATATCTTGGGTTTTTTTCCCTCTGCTAGAAATTTTGTTGACTTGGTAATTTTGCTAAGCAACTGCTGCTTCAGACAACACGGACTGTGCAAAGTGTACACAGTGCATTAATTATATTTACTGAACGTGTCCAATGTTTATTTAGCTTTGTCTGAAAAGAAAAGCTGCCAATGGTATACAATGTTCACGCTCGGAGCCAGTAAAAGGATGTTGTGTAAAAGTAATTTATCTGACTGCTGCGTAACTGCTGAAGAATGCATTGTTACTTAGGAATAGGAATAAATCCGTTCAATACAGTTCAAGTCAAGCTTAATAATTCTAAGGATTAGTTTGATTCAGCTTCACGTGGGTTAAATATTAGTCTAAAAAGTTTATAGACTATCAATGGAATTATGCTATTGTTAAAATGGAAATAATTGATGTGACAACTTCGGGTTTCTTAAAGGCTCATCAGGATACAACCAGTGACATCAGTGAGCTGGGTGGGATGCTGGACGGAGCTGAAGCCAGAGATACTGTACAGCACCAGAACCCCTTCTTCCCCTTCCTGTAACGTGCATTGCCAGCACACCCCCCTCCCAGGTACCGTGCACCAAGAGCCACCACACCGGCCTAAGTTAATATATCAGGTATATTTTAACTACCTCCCGGCCAGCCGCTGTGTATACACGACCTGCCGGGTGCTTCTTGGATGTAACTGGGTGTGTATACGGCGTTTACTGCAGCGCTGAACACTGAAAAATGGCCTGGCCAGGAAGGGGGTCTAAACACCTGGTCTTCAAGCGGTTAAAAGCACAAATAGGTAACACCTGCATACTCGAATGTCATCTACCTTCTCTAGCTAGTTTTATGGTGGCTCATGTCACCGGTTGCAAGGAGCTCCTAGCAACCTGTGATGCTCTGGCTGGAAAGGAGGCGGCAGGTGTGGCCCCCACATGATTCAATGAGATACCGCCTGTTTAAAGTGGCTGATTTTAAAGTGGACCTTTCAGCAAAGATTAATATCTCCTCCCCCCCCTTCGTACATGCTCCCTCCTACATCCTCAATTCTTACTTTAGCGAAGGTGACATGTACCTTCCCCTCCTGCTGCCTCCTAGGATACTTACAGTCATGGCTAAAAATATTGGCACCCCTGTCCAGATAATGCACCAAAATTGCAAAATTGTAATTGCAAAATTGTTACAATTACAAAAGTTTAGGCATTTTCATGTTTATTTTATTTGTTTGTATTGGTATGACACAAAAAAGTTGAGGAAAAAAAAGCAAAACCTGACACATTTAGACACAAAAAATAATTGTTTTTCAAGGTGCTGCAGATCTAGAATTCCTATAGAGAAATCCTACACAAAAATCAAGGGTAAAAACATATATGAATACATCAGATACGTTATCATTTGTGGAAGAAAACAACGCATTGAGTGAAAATATAGCCCACAATTGTTAAAAAAAAAACTATTTCCATTGCAAGACCCATTGCTCAAAGTCCGACAGCTCTAAAAAAATGTGGCTGCAGTTACAGAAATGTGACTTGACTCTAAAATATCCGTGCTAATTGGATGGGGCCCAGGTAAACTTGCTCTTCAGGACGGTTAACACAAAAAGAGTGGACGATGGAGAAGATTGTTATGAAGACAAGGTGATATACTCTGAGCAACGTATAGAATCTAAATGTCCTGTGTTATGAACATTATAGGAAGAAACAGCGAAACATATCATTCTGTAAACCAGCTGAAATAGAAAGGATTAGAAATGATTGCCTGCATGGAGAAAAACAAGTGCCAGTCAACTGATGGGAAATTTGGCCCCTGCATCATTCAGTCTCAGTTACTAATAACCCACTTATGTCAAGGGACTGAACTGTAATCCCAAAAGGATGCAGATCTGAAATTCTAAGGATGATGCACAGAACTCATCAAAGCATTCGGCACTCCAAAGCATGTGTGTGAATTGTAATGCGCGGACTTGATATGTTCAGGGACATTGAACATGGTGGGAAACTGCTAAGTCTTTTAAGAGAGCAGACAGGGCAGACAGGGTGTTTTCACAAGGCATACAGTACCTGGACCACCATAGCACATAAGTTAGCCATCAATTTCTTTGATTTGGGATAGGCAAACATTCTTGCTGCTTTTGAAACAATTTTTTAAAAAGGAGTTCTCAAAATTCCAGATAAAGCATCTCACACTACTGTTGTTAAACTCAAGCCTGAATTTGCAAGGCATGGCATTCCAGTTCCAGCAGAGAGATATGCACTGCTGCATCCCATTGGAGAACCTAATTAGTTTACTCTAGCCCTGGAAACATCCATCCAACAGACAAATTAAGAAGATGTCAGACTGCACAACATCTTTCCAAGAAGTCATTAATCATTGGTGTTGATCAGAACTCTGCACTGCTCAGTCTATAATATATGCAATATATCAGGTGCATAGGATCTACCTGTTCAGGTAATGATTGGGAAGTGTTAAGAATTACAGCATTTGGAACAGCACAGGTTCACAGTCATACAATATTTTCACTACTGGCAAGACTGGACACAGCTAAAGCTACTGATGAGGAGGAAGAGTCGAACCATTCATCTAGGTAAAATCCACTAGACAGTGGCCTGAAGACTATCCAGTTAGTGAGCCATAGCATGTTAAGATCCATCCTGGAAGCCTCTTATGTACAAGAATATTCTATATGCCTGGGCATAACGGAAGTGCAAGGTCCTAGGAGATGGGCTTCAAAAGTACCCAGCTCAGCTTAGGGCAGGTCAGATAGTGGGAAGATAGTCAATCCTTCATCTGAGGTCAAAATAGGTTGTAGCAATATGGCTAAATAGCATACACCAAGAGGTATCTGCAACTAACTTTCAAATCCTCTGATTCGCGCTCCAAATCCTAATTGTGCTGTCCTTGGAACTAGATTTCAACATATGCAAGAGAAAACAAAAGAACAGCGTCTTCTCCTCGTGAAATACTGTTTTATTTGTCCATTAAAAAATGAATATTATTATTGTTCTTATACAGGATTTATATAGCGCCAACAGTTTGCACAACGCTTTACAATATAGGGAAGACATTACAGTTACAATACAATTCAAGACAAGATGGTAAGGAGGGCCCTGCCCCTGAGGGCTTACAATCTAAAAGGTAGGGTCAAGTGATACATGAGGAGGTAGTTGTGTGCAGATGAATTGTTTTGTCAGTGGTTAAGTTGAGGTGGGATAGGCTTTCCTAAAGAGATGAGTCTTTAGTGGTCACCTAAAGGCAGTCAGAGTAGGAGATAGATGGACAGGTTGGGGTAAGGAGTTATACTCACAAACAGTGTCTGTAACATAAGCATTCTGAACAACCACCCAGACTGATGGACGTCGGTCGGCCTTAGAATGAATTGTCAGACAACCGAGATGTGAGCCGAAGCAATCTACATGAGCCTTGCTGATGCATTTCTAGGAATAAACCCTCTTCATCAGAGCAAACGGCAAGTACGTCTCACTTGTTAATGTTACAGACACTGTTTGTGAGTATAACCTTATTCAGTTTATTAAGGGCGAATAAAACAGTATTTCAAATGAAGAAGGCGCTGTTCTTTGTTTTCTCTTGCATGATTTCAAAGGCTTCCCATACTGTCACGGCACAGGAGCCCCCTCTGTGCAATTGTATTGTTGTCCAATCCTGCTGACTCCCTCCATGTGTTGTTGTGAGACCTCCACCAAGCATTGACAGATTGGAAAATAGGTTTCAATTTACTTAAGGGATTTCAAACCCAACAGGTCAAAACCATGATTTGGAAATTTCTCCCATGGCTTTGTTGCCCTTCAGGATCCTGAATAAGTTGCACAAGTGGCAGTCTTAGGGAGCATGTTGTATTTACGCATTTAAAGAAGCCAAATTCCTGGAAGCGGCCGTGGTATTTTGTTTAGGCGAGTCAATGTCATCTTATTCAGCTCATAAAGCACCTTCTCTTTTACAATCTCTCTTTTCATATACCATGCATTGGCAGAAGGGAATGTCACGATAAACCACATCCATTTGCCCAAACAGACACAGATTGCCACAGAAGCACATCAATACCAAACCAGAGGGTTTCGGTGGCATTTGCAGGCAACTTTTGGTTTCTACTCTTTAGCCATATACCCTGTTTCCCTGAAAATAAGACCTACCCCGAAAATAAGACCTAGTACTATTTTTGGGAATTGCTAAAATATAAGACCTACCCCAAAAATAAGACCTATTTGTGACCATTGCCAGGGCCGGTGGTGGCATAAGGGGGAACCTGAAGAGCCTCATTCAGTACTAGAGGAAGCGAGGCGGCAGCACAGGGAGCAGAGCCGCATATGCTGATGTTTCCTCTATAGCGCCGACTCCTGTCACAGGCAGAGTGATACCAAATGCACTCCGCCTGTGAGGAATTGATAGTGAAAGTGTGCTTCACTTTTTCTTATTACCAAATTGCTCTTGGAAAGGTATGGCACCCCTGATCACCCTATTCTTAACTTTGCCATTTTGGATTATTTAATTTGGATTTGCATTAACTTTGGATAGAGCCGCATAAGCCGATGCCTCCTCTATAGCGCCGACTCCTGTCACAGGCGGATTGATACCAAATGCACTCCGCCTGTGAGGAATCTATAGTGAAAGCGCTCTTGGAAAGGTATGGCACCCTTGATCACCCTATTCTTAACTTTGCCATTTTGGATTATTTAATTTGGATTTGCATTAACTTTGGATTGTTATACATTAAAAAAATAAGACCTATCCCGAAAATAAGACCTAGTGTGTTTTTTTGAGCCAAAAAAATATAAGACAGTGTCTTATTTTCGGGGAAACACGGGTAAGCTTTCTACATCTTTATTTGACAGGTTTTCTTTAAGGTAACAGTTCAGTATAGTTCAACTTTGCACAGGACTCTTTCTTATAAGGAATAGTCATGTATATGGTTCTCTTCTTAAGTAATCTCTTTTTCTGTTCTCCAACAATGAACCATCACACAGATGGTTGGCAGGTCTAAATGTTTC